CAGGCTTTCTCTGACAATTGATTATAACAGTGCATAAAGCTTGGATGAAGTTGTAAGAAGAAATGGAGCAGGATTGATCCACGAAGAAAAGCTGCAAAACAGAGCAAGAACAGCGCGTAAACGTGTCGTTTATGCCTTCCCTCCACCTAACTAAAGAGAAGGTTGAAACGACGACGTGGAGACCAAAACTTACCGTTAGATGGAGACAAGAGACGAGGACACATGACAATCTGAATTTATGTTTATTTAAATTATAGTTTAACTGACAATTCAAGTTTTACTGTTTTACATTTCTTTTATCTACTGAACTTTGGTATAAATAGAATGATCTGAAGCCTTAGTTGCTTTGTGGGTTTCCTCACAATTCCATTTGCTCGCATTCTTCTTCTACCTTATAACCAGCTACAACCCTAGAAGCTAGGTTTCTCATATGGTATCAGAGCGGTGATCCGATTTTCCGTACTAAACACTTCAATGAACACTCCACCTAGCAACTCCAGTGGTAGTGGAGAGATCCCCTTCGGCAGTTTCAATCACAATGCTCATAATCAGCAAACCCAGCAGATTCAGCAAACCCAGCAAAATCAGTAGGCCCAACATACCCAGAATGAAGCGCAAGCTCAGATCTATAATGGTAATCTCAATAACTCAACTGGGTTATGTGTTTGGAAGTCCTTACTATATCAATCGGCACAAGAATTTGGGTCAATCCATAGTGTTTGATTTGCTGAATGAGAATAACTACCAGATGTGGCAGAGAGCCATACGAATGGTTCTCAAAACCAAACCTAAGATTGGTTTTATTGATGGTAGCTTGCCCATGCTAGAACGAAGTCATCCTAAGTTTGTTGTGTGGGATGCTTCTAACACCATGGTGCTGTGTGGATTCTGAATTCTATTGATTAGGATATACGTCGTAGTGTATTGCAACATGAAGTGGCTCAGACACTGTGGGATGAACTTAAAAAGAGCTTTGGAAGTTGCAATGCACTAAGACTAGCCTATTTGAAAGAAGCTATAGATCGGTTCAAGCAGGGAAGTTTGACCCAATATTATGTTTATCTGAAAGGACAATGGGAAGAGTATCTCTAGTTCAACCTTATTGTTGATTGTGATTGTTAGAACCAAACATTGTGCAGTTGTGGATGCATTTAAGGAAAGGCAGGAGACATAATATCTGATTAACTTCCTTCGAGGACTTAGGCCAGAGTTTGATGTGGTACAAACTCAGCTGTTGATGATGAAGCCATTGCCCAATGTAGAAGCTGTTGTGGATGGTATTCTGCAACATGAGCAGAAGCTCAAATCAGACAAAGGCCACTCCAACAGAAGTGTTCCATCAGTGGCTTTAGCAGCTCAAGGTGATAATTAGAAGGGTTTTACCTCATTTGAACCTGACAAAGGTGGGAGAGAAATCATAGATGGTGATAGAAAGTTTTGTAGATACTATGGTTTGCCAAACTGACAGCCTCATTATTGAAGGATGGATTTTCTCAAGTAGCTTCTGACTATTCCATGTTCATTAGGAGGTTTTGGGGAAGAATGCTGGCGGTGATAGTTGGGAGTTCACCGAGTGACATAGAACAGACGAAAGGGGGTTCTTGGGAAAGGAGTTTAAGGTGAAATATTTGGGAGTTCTACAGTTCTTTAAGGGATTAGAATTTTACAAGGATCATAGGGAATCTTTGTGAATCAAAGAAAGTACTGTATGGATCTGTTGGAAGATACAAGGTATATGGATGCTAAGGACTGTTTGTCTCCTGCCAATTGCAAAGTTCAACTAAAACCAAAGGAGGGAGAACCTCTGACGAATCCTGAAGTCTACAAGTGACTAGTTGGAAGGCTGCATTACTTGACAATAACACGACCTGACCTCACACTCTTAGTACAACAATTATGCGAATGCCAAAAGAATACCTACATTAAGCACTTGCAGGTTGCATACAAAGTGGTAAGGTACATAGAACATGCACCAGGTCAAGGCTCATTATTTAAAAGTGGCACCAAAATGGAGTTGACAGGTTTCTCAGATTCAGATTGGGCTAGCAGGAGATTAGTGATAGGGTATTGCAGCTTACTGGGAGGTTGTATGTTAACGTGGAAATCTAAGAAACAAGCATGGTCTCAAGATCCTAATATGAAGTAGAGTATAGAGCCTTTCCCAATTGATGTTTATTTATTGTGATAATCGATCAGCTATTCATATAGCAAAGAATCCAATTTTCCAGTAGAGGATGAAACACATTGAAATTGACTGTCACGTTACATGGGAAACACTCAATTCTGGAATAATCAAATTGCACCATGTAAGAACAGATGACCAGTTAGCAGATCTTTTCACTAAGGGCTTGACTCGTTATAGGTTGAGCTATCTGCTGGATAAGTTGGGAGTCATTGACATGTAATCGCCAACTTATGGAAGAATAATAGCAGAAAGCTTGGATGAAGCTAGAAGAAGAAATGCAACAGGGTTGATCCACGAAGAACATCTACATAACAAAGCAAGAACAGGGCAGAAACGTTTCGTTTATGCCTTCCCCTCCAGTTAGCTAAAGCGAAGGTTGAAATGATAACATGAAGACCCAAACTTACCGTTAGGTGGAGACAAGAGGCAGACCAGACGATGACACGTGGCAATCAGAATTTATGTTTATTTAAATTTACAGTTTAACAGAAAATTCAAGTTTTACTGTTTTACATTTCTTTCACCTGTTGAACTCTGATATAAATAGAAGGATCTGAATCCTTAGCTGCTTTGCGGGTTTCCTCACAATTTCATTTGCTCGCATTCTTCTTCTCCCTTATAACCAGCTGCAACCCTAGTTGCTATATAGGTGCAAAAATGCGTGGCTAACCTTTAGCTGCGCCACTTTTAGCCACACGAGCTACAAAGTCATTTTTGTGTGCACTACAAAAAAGGCTGATATAGCGACAACCTTTTAGTGATGCGGGTGACCCGGGTTCGTTCCCCGGCAACGGCGCCAAAAACTTGGCACGCCAAAACACAACACCAAACTGCGACCAAGTGTAATCGCATTCCGGGAATGCAGTAACAAGCAAGTTCAATTATCAACCCGGGGTCTAGATCTACTGCTTACTCCGTGATTCTCTGTTATCTAGCAAACTAATTCGAGAGATTGTTGTTTAAAGCAAAAGCAGTAAGAAAGCAAGTAATAATTCGGTTTTCAAAGTCAGGAAAAAGTCACTCGGGATTGAGTCACCCTAGCCCCTTAGTTAGGTTCAATTGTAATTCCCCTGGTTTGATTCACTGTTGATTAGACTGCGGAAGTTCCGACAGTAGCTTGGAATCTCTTAAGCTGACCAAGCCCTCTCAGTCTAACTACCCGGCAGACGACTAGCCTTCACCGGGATAGAAAGCTGAGGCTATGAACACAGAACTCCACTACTGGAATTGAATTCCATTACAAAGCAGTAAACTGGCTAACTCTCGTATAGCCAATCTCCTACTATCGAATGAAGAGGCTCTAACAACCTAATCAGATTCTATCTATCTCAGGTTGCAGCAGAAATTGAGAAAAGCTGATCAGACTCCAATCAATTCAATAAACATGCATCATTCGATTAAAATCAAACAGTAATGTCATCCCAAGTTATTACAATCAAATCCCTAACACAAGGAACTAGGGTTCTTCGTACCCAAGTGAGAGAAGGGTTCTACTCCATAGAGAGAGAAGAGAAAACAGTAATCGGAGTAGTCATACTCATAATGATGAGGAAAATCTGCTCCGGGATGATGATTTCCACTCCTATGACGATCTCCAAGCTCGATTCGGTGAAACCCAGCTCCAAGATAGCTTCTAGGATGTGTTCTTCGCTCTTTCTCTCTCTAGGGCTCCGGGATGTGTTCGTCCGCTACATCCTTACGTTATTCTCTTTCCAATTCCCCTTTCCTCCTTCCTCTCAATTCGTCAATGTTCAGGGTTTGGGATATATTTGTTGTATAGTTATGACTCCTATGGCAGTTTGTGTCGAACATGGTTGATTGCTTTCAGATGTGGATGTGAATCGTATGGTCAATTAGGGTATTTCTTGTTGGTAGTGGTTGAGAATTTGGATTTCATTTTTATTGTTTCCATGCCTCCTGCATATTAATTATTGCCTTTATTTAGGCCAATCCTTAAGTCATTCCTTCAAAAGACCATGTTCTAGCTACAAAAAACAAAAGGGATAAGTCTGGTGTTGGTGCTACATGCATGAAGAGTGTTGGTCGTTTTCTCTGTTGATAGTGGTGACATATGGCAAGAAGAGTTTCTTCATTTAGCTTTTCCTACATTATTAGACTTGGAAGAGTGTTCGTTGTTTTCTCTGAAGCTTGGCCTGTTGGATTATTTGGGCTAGTATGACCTCTTTTTCTTTGTTATGTATCCATTATCTTCTTGGAGGAAATGGTATATTGATTATCTTCCGACTGACTGTCGATATGATTAAGCAGTTTATGTTCTCTGGTATCATGGCAAGTGGTCTGGTTATTAATTGCTCTATTTCAGGCTTCTATACTGATGCTTGGTCCTCCCCCAACGATGCTGATTTTCCAAGTGCAGCTTGCACCCCAAGAGTTTAGTACAGGCATGATTGTCAATCTAGCTTAATTATGTTATGATAATTCAAATTAGCTTGGTTTTTTGCATTTATTCTGGATGATTTCGAACAGGACTGGCATTTTTTTGCTGTATGCCAATTACATTGTCAAGTGGGGTAGCACTAACACAAGTAAATTTCCTCTTCCTCTTCTTCTCCACTCTCTGTACGTTCAAGGTTAGAATGACATGTGCATCACTAATGGGGGTTTTGATTGCAGCATTTTGGTGGGAAATATGCTCTTGCTCTTACGATGACAGTGATGTCAAACCTACTAGGCATCATTACTGTAAGTTTCTACTTATAAAAAGAAAAATCACTACCATAACCATTTTCCTCTTTTCTGGACTTCACAGTTGTTCTTAAAGTCCATTAATAAGAATAACCCTTATGTTTGTTAGTACGCATAAGATGAGAGTTGGCTTTCTTTGATGAATCGCTTTCATTTTCGGATATAGATCTCAAAGGATTTCATGCTTTCATTTGATTTTTTGCATGTGCATGTGCATTTAGTCTTTATTCATTTGATATAGTCTAACTCGCTGCTCTTTGGTGTTGATTTAACTGCCGAGGTAATACACCTCAATAATTGTGAACGCATTTGAGATTCTCAGGATAGGCTGAAACATGTTCGTGTAAGATTTTTGGATTCCATTTTCTTTTATTGTCTTTGTAACTATCATTCTTACTTTCTACTTGAGTTTGATAATGGATCTTTACGGTGAATGGAATTAGGAAGGAAAGCGAGACAGTTGATTCAAGATCAGAAAGGTAATTAGGTGAATTGCCTACTTTTATAAACTAGAGCTACTTTACTTATACGGAGGACCCATAGATCTGGCTTTTCATGATTTTGGATATTTGGGTCATTTGTCTATCGATATATATGCTTAATATTTCAAGTGATTGTCGGGTGTAGCATCATAGTAAATAAGGAGAAGGAAAATAACTCTTGTTATATGGACTTATTTAATCATTTTCAGGATCGTCTTGGTCGGTCTAAGCTAATTTGGTCTTTGCGGCTGAAAGTTGCTCTTGATACAGCTAGGTGAGCTTATTAAGTTTTATCCTATGGTGTCCATGAATACCCATCTGATTTTGACTTGCTTGTGTATATTGGATGTTGTTTCTCTGACCTTCAAAGAGTAATAGTCAATGAAGTTGATCTACTAATAGAAAGATATGGCTGAGCTATATGTTGATAGAGAATACCTCTATAGTGGTTTCAGTTCTATTCAATGTTAAAATACTCGTTGATCATACTGATACAGAGTGAAGGAAAAAAGAAATGGAAAGATGGGTTAGACAGACTTGGGCAACTTAGAGTTGCTGTTTAACCATAATGAACATGGCTTGGGGAGAAGTGATAAGTATGCAAGTTCCTCAGAAAGGAGATTTATTGATGGATTTTTTCTTTTCACAGAAATCAGCTTGTTATTGACTGATTTTTGTATTGCTTTATTTGCTTGTTTCCTTGCAGTGCTGGATTTTGAGGTGGGGATGTATGAGAGGCTGTTGGTTTTCTGGGGCCTTGCAAGAGGTTTTGAGCTTTTGCTAGACCCCTTTATTGGGTTATGCTTCTCAAGTATGATTCAAACGTGTTTGATCTTTTAGATGCTTCTTTTGAAATGATATTGTTGAATCAAAGGAGTCCTACCATTCTGAATGCATTTGTTTGCTTTTACCCCCACTTACTGTAACCTCTTAGGGGTCGTTAGGATTAGTGTTTTTAATTTGAGTGATTTGAGAGAGATTTGGGATCAAATCACTCGTTTTAAAACCCAGGTTTTTTATTAGAGAGATTTGTGTGGGATTTTCTCCAAATCACTTGTTTGGCAAGCAAAAAGGGATTTTAAATTGAAAATGGAAATTTGAATTGAACCATGCAAAAGACCACTTTCCTCACTCCAAACTTGGGTATTAAGCAACTGCTTCCGAACTGCTTCTGAATTGCAGCTTCTTCAGCCATCCGAATAGCTTCAGTTTTCAATACCACTCCAACCTAGGCAGAATCCACAAAAAAACCCCACCAATCACCAAACTTTCTAAGAACATAATGCAATTCCCTACAATTCAAGCAAATGATCAGTGAAGACTAATCTCATGCTCGTTTTCTCTTTCTGGTGTTTCAGGCTTCCGTTCTTCATTCAAGAAACCTCCAGTAAGGAAAGGTTAGCATCTAGTTCCTGGATTTCGCTTATCTAAACCAAACTTTCGATTGTTTTTTTTCCTGAGATCCTAGTCCTTATGCTGTGCTAGGAAAACCTGTTTGCTAGTGAATGTTGAACTATCATACCCTGTCCTTGAGAAGAAGGCCTCGATGTGTATGGATGATTCAAGTTTTCGTTTGGACGGTCGCATTGTTGTATGATGGTTTGTCATTTCTGTGCGGCTGATTATTAAGGCCTTGCTTGTCTTACTGTAGCTGCTTCTTCTCATTCGGTCCATAATTATGGTACGAATAAAGAGGTTGAAAAGGGTGATGCGAAAGATGCTAGTTAATAAGAATTTAGTTTGAAATGATTTATAACTATGGATTTGTGACTGGATATTTGTTGTTTTGTTAATTTGCAGGGATGGAAGTTGATGAAGGGCTGCAGGGGTAAATATCTGTTTTTAGTTTGAAATAGTATTGAACTGTAGATTGTAGGCTTTGAACATTTGTAAGTGATTTAGAATTCTAGATTTGATGTTACTTTTGTAAGGATTGATGGATTATATTTTTGGTATGGTAATTCAAGGGTTATGAATAGATATACAATTCTGGAATTGTGATTATTAGGCTACTGTATTGCTGATTTGATGTTCAGAAAATGGTTACTAGATCATTGGAGTAATAGAAAAACAGCAGGCTAGGGCTGTATTATTAGAGCAGGTGGCTCTTCAAAATACAACAGCCTTTAGCGACAGTCATTAGCTTTTCGCGACGGTCATATCTGTCGCTAAACAATTTAAATAATTTCTTGAATGTTTATTTAACGACGGTTAACTGGACAATTGCGTCGGTCACTGCCGTCATTAAACTTTGTCGACGGTTAGGGCGACAGTCGTCCAAAACCGTCGCTATAAAATTTAAGGATTGCGGGGTCAGCAACGGTTGCTTTTCCGTCATTAAATATTTTAGCGACGGTTTTGACCGTCGTTAAATGTCCGTAAAACCGTCGCTAAATCACTGTTCTGTTGTAGTGGTGGCTGTATGTTTTAGCCACAAAATATTGACCTTTTAGCTATAAAATTTTCCATAGCTATATGTGCTTATTCATAGCTAGAGCGCACATAATTGAGACATATGCATTGAGGTAATAGATTAGAAGATTCTAAGTTGCTCAATTGCTACTTCTTTAAACTTGGATTTTTTACTCCCCATGAGATCATGTTAGAACTTCACACCATCGTTTCCCATATCTTCCACATATGTGAGTATATTCCCATGTTCGTCAATCAATTGGATTATAGTGCTTCTTGAATTCCTGCTATTTACCATGCTATGGGAAAACGTGATGTTTGCATCCTTACTAGTGATCCACATCTGTCTAGACTTTTGTTTAATAAATTGTTCTTCAGCCTTTTGTAAATCTAAAGAAGTCGAACCTTGCATCTCTTTTTTATTTAAAGTTGAGGAGACAGGGAGCTCCAAGGCTTCTAGCTGAGTCACAACAAGTTTTGATTGTGTTGCCACTCTTTCATGAGGGTCAGAATAGTGAGTCCTATTTAACGTATTTAATTAATCTTATCTTTCTTTGTTTCAATTTTGGACAAAGGCAATACATTTTGGAACATTCTATTGTACATGTTGCCATCCCTCTGCCTCTAGTCTATCATACATATGGCGAAGCCTCTACAAATTGAAGTACTTCTATCAACTTTTATTATGATTTTACCATGATACATTTATAACTTATGAATATGCTTTGAACCCTAAGCATTTACAGTTTACTATATATCATGATCCTACCAATTTGATTTATTATTTAACTTTCACAAAGATTTCTTTATCACTAAGTCAATTGTTTCAAATGTAAGGAAGAAGTTCGTGGCTTTCAAAGTCCACTTCAACTCTCATCTACGTTTAGTAGACATATCTTTTCAATTGAAAACAAAAAAGTACCAAAAGAATTTACCTTGAACATACAACTTCATAAGTTGCCCCAGCAGCAGAGGTGGACTGGCGGTTGACATAAGCTCGAGTTACATGATCATTAAGAAGTGCTGCATCAGAGACAAGGAGACCTCTGTTTTGCTTTACAGCTTTGTAGAAATGTGCATCAGAAATCTTGGAACTTCCTTGGTCCAGCTCAAGAACTGGGCCGCCGCCACCAGGCTTGCATTTCTTCTTCAGTTCGGAGGCAAAGGTTGGATCCAGGGCCGGGTCGGTATCGCCTCTCCCCGTGAAGTTGTATAGTCTATCGGTGATCACGAAACAACTTGCAACCCCGATGGTGTGCGCTCCTGAAAGCAATAGGATAAAGAAAAGTCGTCTGTTAGTAAATGGTATAAAATGAAGTTCTATAATTTCTTTTTTGCGAATTATTGAAGTGGTGGCATCTACATTTTTTTCATGAAAAGATTATGAGAACTTGAAATCCATCCATAACAAATGAATTTACCGTCGATAAAAAATTATCCTCATTAGACGAACAACTAAGACACATATTATTGATTGTTCAGTTTAACGATTGAACGAGACGGTAAACTTAAACCTTAATTATTTTCAATTGTAACAGGATTTCATTAGTGGTTGTAACAACGATAAATTATTTGAATTATTTTTACCTGACAAAACAGCCAGGTCTTTCTTAGTTAAACCCTTCGATGCAAAGTTTTGTTTGAGTTGAGCTATGTTGAAATTCGAGGAGGGTAAATTTTCGTCTGCCTCCTTGCTAAGTGAGATTCTTCCATCTCTACGTCCAGTTTCAGCTTTCCAAAATGATCCACCTGTCTGAAAATATAGTAAAAAAAACCCAGAGAAAGAACATACGTAAATAAAACATTTAAAAAAAAATATAGTAATTCGTGGGACGAGCCTAGAACATTACCAGTCGAACCGCATCACGAGCAGCCAGGGCCAATATGTCGGCACAAGAAACCACACCGGGACAACTCTCATCAGGGCAGCTCTCATCGTAGTAACCGGTTCGCAGACCGGCTCCATCGACCCGGTTCGGGCCTGAAACAGCGAGAAGAACTAGCTGGATGAAGAAAATCGACACAACCCTTGTCTGAACCGCCATTTCTCTGTGTATATGAATTATGATGAAAGGCAGCAGCTAAGGTGTCAGTGGTTGCGATGAAAGAGTTAGTGTTGTGCTGCTGTTTATATAGTTCAGTAGAACTAACTTATTCGTTACAATATTATATCGTATGGGAAAAGGTCAAACAGTCTTGTATCGCTGCTTCACAGTTCACAGGTCCAACAAACAAATGGAGCCAAGTTCAGCAATACGAAGGTCAGAAGGAATATTGCCATTTAGCTTTTGTTTTCTTTCCGTTTTTTGTTCCTCTTCTTGCATTGACTTCTTTGGACAGCCGGCTCCTTGACTTCGTACACCTTGCATGCATGGCGTTATCAAAGAATACAGCAAGCATGACATGTGAAAGTAACCAACGTCGATATTGCTAAATTTGGCTCGATTATGGTGTTAGATGATCCTTGTAAAATTTGAACCAAGAATCCATTCAAGTAAAAATTGATGTTGTTGGTTTAATGCATCAAATTTAGTGCAAGATTTGAATTTAGGTGAGTTACCACTTAAATTAATTGTGTGGAATTTCATTTTGGATGAATGAGTGTTGTTTATAATTCTTTTGGCGTCTCACAACCCACTTTATAAGGCTATAAATTGAGGTTCTTTGTTTTCTCAGAAAAAATGATGCAACAAACATGCAAGTGATAAACGTCCAAGGATGTCTTAGGGTTGTATTCCACAAAGTTTTATAATGCTCATGCAACTAGTCACACCATACCATTCAAAGTTTTATATGAAAGACTTCAGAAGTTTTGTTCGTATAGGCATTAAAGTAAATCAAGAAAGAAAAGTAAAAGATGTTTAGGTGTTTTCCAAGTTATATAGATACATAAAAGAAAAGAGAAAAAGCACAATTGAGTCCTATCATACACATCAACACGCATACATATCATGCATCAATGATTCATCTATACCATCACTCTTTCCCTTCTACTATGGTCATTCTACTCGAGCTTTCGCCACATGCAATAGGAACTTGACTATCTAATGCATGCTTTCGATTCATGATATCACCTAATCAATGAAGAAATAAGAAGTGAGGATAACACATGATTAAGTGTGGGCCTCTTCAGCCATATATAATCGATGGTCTATATCATTGATGTAGTAACAATCAAGCATTGATACTACTCAGAGCATAGATGCATGTTTGATTGTTTCCTCTATACTCGTGTAGAATTAATGGGGTATCACTAGGGTGTAATTTCTTAACAAACTTGATGATACTAAGCACAATGAATATAGTAGTATACTATAGAATCATAACATTGATGATAAGAAAACACTAACACTAGATAAAAATCAATGATCATCATGTAAGCATCAATACACACATGATAGGCATTGAAATTTAATAGGATAAACACAAGCGAAATCATGACTTCAATATATAAAGATAAAAGAGCATATTTCTACACAATAAATTATGAATGCTAAGCTCTCACCCGAACAGAGTGTCTACAAAATTATTGAATGGAATTGTGTAACCTACTAAACTAATAGTCTAGCTCCCTATTTATAGAGATATAACTCAGCCAAAACCTTCCTAACCCTACTAGGACAAGTTCTCTTTGACTTGGGGACGTATCATAGCCTATGGAATTTTATTTGGGCTTGGGCCTTAGAGTGGCGGATGGGTGGCAACTCGAATTGCTACATGTTTTCTTTGCGGAATGAGCTCTTTGGCCCATAAGCAAACTCTCCTAAATATTTATCTGTGATTTGACCCAAGTTTGCTTAGGAGGCCTTTGGACTCGACACTGGGCCGACATTGATTCGGTTTGGATTGAGTGTTCCTTCATTGGGCTCCTCTTAGGATTTATACATGGTTCCTAGAAGGTTTCTCATCATTGAACCTCATCTTTATCATGAAAACTCAATATTCTTCTCTTGTTGTCTCATTTGGTCCTCTAGAATCATTCAATGTTAGATCCAAATCCTCATAAATGGTATTTTACCTTAGAATGCACAAAAACATACCTAGAATATATAAAGAATACAAAAACATAACCTAGGCCTACTAAATGGCCATTGATCAAATATTTATGATTTAGATACAAAATATAACATAAAGTATTAAAAATGCATTGATAGATAGGAGTGATAAATACTATAAATTGAGTGTCACCAAAAAACACCGGTTCTTCCAAATTTTGTATTCTCCTAAAATTGATTGAGTGTTTTTTCTTTGTGTTTGGAGTTTTCTACTTACTACAGAACTTCCCACTCTGAAGATTATTCCTTAGTCATTTTGGATTTAATGGCTTGTCCAGTATGTGATTTGATTTTTCTCCATTCACTTTCGAGTATTGTCCACATAAATTTGGTGTTTTGTCTTTGGTTATTATCTTCTCTGTTTTATTTTTATTTCAATATCGGATTTGCTTCCACTAGTGCTATTTTATCCACATTCAAAAGTCTTAAAATGACAACATGTATCAAAGTTTTGACAACTAATTGAAATTCTCGACAAGACGACTACAAAGTTTGACATCGAGAAGTTTGATGGAAAGATATCATTATCGATATGAATAATTCAAATGAAGGAGATTTTGACGTAGAACGTTGTTCAAAAGAATTTAATGGGTCTCGAAGTCAACCAAGAGACTTCGAGTGATACCCAATGGGAAGAGCCCGATGAAAAGGCTTTTACTGCTATTCAATTACATCTATCGAAATTGGTTTTGCATGAGGGGATCCAAATTTTTCTTTAGTGTGAGTTATCATATTTCAATGTTGTTGTTGTCCCTCAAACTGCCACATCCTCCATAGCGTCAACAGGCGAGAGTGTATACCAATTGACAATGGGAAAGCGGTGTGTGAGTGGCTCGAGTGGATTTCATAGATTATTTGATCAGATGCATCATTCGCCTCACACATATCTAGATCCTTCAAAAACCTGACCAACACCTGACCATGCTTCTTTATGAGCATCCTTCATAAAAATCATTGTTGGGGGAAACTATTTATACGAGATGTCAGGCTTTCTCTGACAATTGATTATAACAGTGCATAAAGCTTGGATGAAGTTGTAAGAAGAAATGGAGCAGGATTGATCCACGAAGAAAAGCTGCAAAACAGAGCAAGAACAGCGCGTAAACGTGTCGTTTATGCCTTCCCCTCCACCTAACTAAAGAGAAGGTTGAAACGACGACGTGGAGACCCAAACTTACCGTTAGATGGAGACAAGAGACGAGGACACATGACAATATGAATTTATGTTTATTTAAATTATAGTTTAACTGATAATTCAAGTTTTACTGTTTTACATTTCTTTTACCTACTAAACTTTGGTATAAATAGAATGATCTGAAGCCTTAGTTGCTTTGCGGGTTTCCTCACAATTCCATTTGCTCGCATTCTTCTTCTACCTTATAACCAGCTACAACCCTAGAAGCTAGGTTTCTCATATGGTATTAGAGCGGTGATCCGATTTTCCGTACTAAACACTTCAATGAACACTCCACCTAGCAACTCCAGTGGTAGTGGAGAGATCCCCTTCGGCAGTTTCAATCACAATGCTCATAATCAGCAAACCCAGCAGAATCAGCAAACCCAGCAAAATCAGTAGGCCCAACATACCCAGAATGAAGCGCAGGCTCAGATCTATAATGGTAATCTCAATAACTCAACTGGGTTATGTGTTTGGAAGTCCTTACTATATCAATCGGCACAAGAATTTGGGTCAATCCATAGTGTTTGATTTGCTGAATGAGAATAACTACCAGATGTGGCAGAGAGCCATACGAATGGTTCTCAAAACCAAACATAAGATTGGTTTTATTGATGGTAGCTTGCCCATGCCAGAACGAACTCATCCTAAGTTTGTTGGGTGGGATGCTTCTAACACCATGGTGCTGTGTCGATTCTAAATTCTATTGATTAGGATATACGTCGTAGTGTATTGCAACATGAAGTGGCTCAGACACTGTGGGATGAACTTAAAAAGAGCTTTGGAAGTTGCAATGCACTAAGACTAGCCTATTTGAAAGAAGCTATAGATCGGTTCAAGCAGGGAAGTTTGACCCAATATTATGTTTATCTGAAAGGACAATGGGAAGAGTATCTCTAGTTCAACCTTATTGTTGATTGTGATTGTTAGAACCAAACATTTTGCAGTTGTGGATGCATTTAAGGAAAGGCAGGAGACATAATATCTGATTAACTTCCTTCGAGGACTTAGGCCAGAGTTTGATGTGGTACAAACTCAGCTGTTGATGATGAAGCCATTGCCCAATGTAGAAGCTGTTGTGGATGGTATTCTGCAACATGAGCAGAAGCTCAAATCAGACAAAGGCCACTCCAACAGAAGTGTTCCATCAGTGGCTTTAGCAGCTCAAGGTGATAATTAGAAGGGTTTTACCTCATTTGAACCTGACAAAGGTGGGAGAGAAATCATAGATGGTGATAGAAAGTTTTGTAGATACTATGGTTTGCCAAACTGACAGCCTCATTATTGAAGGATGGATTTTCTCAAGTAGCTTCTGACTATTCCATGTTCATTAGGAGGTTTTGGGGAAGAATGCTGGCGGTGATAGTTGGGAGTTCACCGAGTGACATAGAACAGACGAAAGGGGGTTCTTGGGAAAGGAGTTTAAGGTGAAATATTTGGGAGTTCTACAGTTCTTTAAGGGATTAGAATTTTACAAGGATCATAGGGGAATCTTTGTGAATCAAAGAAAGTACTGTATGGATCTGTTGGAAGATACAAGGTATATGGATGCTAAGGACTGTTTGTCTCCTACCAATTGCAAAGTTCAACTAAAACCAAAGCAGAGAGAACCTCTGACGAATCCTGAAGTCTACAAGTGACTAGTTGGAAGGCTGCATTACTTGACAATAACACGACCTGACCTCACACTCTTAGTACAACAATTATGCGAATGCCAAAAGAATACCTACATTAAGCACTTGCAGGTTGCATACAAAGTGGTAAGGTACATAGAACATGCACCAGGTCAAGGCTCATTATTTAAAAGTGGCACCAAAATGGAGTTGACAGGTTTCTCAGATTCAGATTGGGCTAGCAGGAGATTAGTGATAGGGTATTGCAGCTTACTGGGAGGTTGTATGTTAACGTGGAAATCTAAGAAACAAACATCGTCTCAAGATCCTAATATGAAGTAGAGTATAGAGCCTTTCCCAATTGATGTTTATTTATTGTGATAATCGATCAGCTATTCATATAGCAAAGAATCCAATTTTCCAGTAGAGGATGAAACACATTGAAATTGGCTGTCACGTTACATGGGAAACACTCAATTCTGGAATAATCAAATTGCACCATGTAAGAACAGATGACCAGTTAGCAGATCTTTTCACTAAGGGCTTGACTCGTTATAGGTTGAGCTATCTGCTGGATAAGTTGGGAGTCATTGACATGTAATCGCCAACTTATGGAAGAATAATAGCAGAAAGCTTGGATGAAGCTAGAAGAAGAAATGCAACAGGGTTGATCCACGAAGAACATCTACATAACAAAGCAAGAACAGGGCAGAAACGTTTCGTTTATGCCTTCCCCTCCAGTTAGCTAAAGCGAAGGTTGAAATGATAACATGAAGACCCAAACTTACCGTTAGGTGGAGACAAGAGGCAGACCAGACGATGACACGTGGCAATCAGAATTTATGTTTATTTAAATTTACAGTTTAACAGAAAATTCAAGTTTTACAGTTTTACATTTCTTTCACCTGTTGAACTCTGATATAAATAGAAGGATCTGAATCCTTAGTTGCTTTGCGGGTTTCCTCACAATTTCATTTGCTCGCATTCTTCTTCTCCCTTATAACCAGCTGCAACCCTAGTTGCTATATAGGTGCAAAAATGCGTGGCTAACCTTTAGCTGCGCCACTTTTAGCCACACGAGCTACAAAGTCATTTTTGTGTGCACTACAAAAAAAGGCTGATATAGCGACAACCTTTTAGTGACGCGGGTGACCCGGGTTCGTTCCCCGGCAACGGCGCCAAAAACTTGGCACGCCAAAACACAACACCAAACTGCGACCAAGTGTAATCGCATTCCGGGAATGCAGTAACAAGCAAGTTCAATTATCAACCCGGGGTCTAGATCTACTGCTTACTCCGTGATTCTCTGTTATCTAGCAAACTAATTCGAGAGATTGTTGTTTAAAGCAAAAGCAGTAAGAAAGCAAATAATAATTCGGTTTTCAAAGTCAGGAAAGAGTCACTCGGGATTGAGTCCCCCTAGCCCCTTAGTTAGGTTCAATTGTAATTCCCCTGGGTTGATTCACTGTTGATTAGACTGCGGAAGTTCCGACAGTAGCTTGGAATCTCTTAAGCTGACCAAGCCCTCTCAGTCTAACTACCCGGCAGACGACTAGCCTTCACCGGGATAGAAAGCTGAGGCTTTGAACACAGAACTCCACTACTGGAATTGAATTCCAGTACAAAGCATTAAACTGGCTAACTCTCGTATAGCCAATCTCCTACTATCGAATGAAGAGGCTCTAACAACCTAATCAGATTCTATCTATCTCAGGTTGCAGCAGAAATTGAGAAAAGCTGATCAGACTCCAATCAATTCAATAAACATGCATCATTCGATTAAAATCAAACAGTAATGTCATCCCAAGTTATTACAATCAAATCCCTAACACAAGGAACTAGGGTTCTTCGTACCCAAGTGAGAGAAGGGTTCTACTCCATAGAGAGAGAAGAGAAAACAGTAATCGGAGTAGTCATACTCATAATGATGAGGAAAATCTGCTCCGGGATGATGATTTCCACTCCTATGACGATTTCCAAGCTCGATTCGGTGAAACCCAGCTCCAAGATAGCTTCTAGGATGTGTTCTTCGCCCTTTCTCTCTCTAGGGCTCTGTTTTTGCTCTGAAAATCCGATTCTCCCACTTTTGGCTCGAAATTGGCTCAAAAACCAGAATTTCCCGACTCACACGGGCAGGCCACACGGCCGTGTGGCTCACCCAAGTGGCCGTGCGAGTCAAAACGCACCGTCCCATTAATTCGATCTTCAGCCATCTCACACGGCCAGGGTTGCACGGCCGTGTGGATTTCCTGGGTAGCCCGTGCGTGGCCTCGGCAAAAATCACACGACAACTTTGCTCACTGGCACGGCTGTGTGAAAGCCAGGGTTGCCCGTGTTTGCTCTCGCACAATCCCACACGGCCTGGCTTGTCACTTGCACGGCCGTGTGATTCCACGGTCTGCCCGTGTGGCTTCCTTGAACCCTCGCCATTCGTCCGATCTTCGTCCAATCGACCCCAAACTCGCTCCCAAGCCTCAATTCACGTACTAGGTCCTGAAATATCACAAACAAGAACAACCTAGCGTGAAATCGGCCTAAAACACGAGAATCAACACCTCAAACGGTGTAAGAACAGGGGTAAAAACATGTGTAAATAACGGTCTATCAATGCACTAAAAAAAAAGGCTGATATAGCGACAACCTTTTAGTGACGGTCAGTCTGACCGTCTATAAATGCTATAGTTTCCAACGGAAGCCTTCTCCGTCAATTCACCATCGGGATCTGTGATAACATACACCAACGCTGCGCTAGTGGAAGTCTTTAGTAATGAGTGTCCTTTTTTTATGTCTAGTCTTATCTATTTTTGTCTTTTTATATGTTCAAATTCAAATTATTTATAAAAAAAAACTATTTTCAATGAAAAAGTTAAAACATGTTAGAGGTCGAGTGGGAGTGGCTCAAGTCCTTTCATTACTTCGAGAAGAACCAAGTCCTCAGGGAATCCCTAAAAAACCCAAACGAAAAAAAAAACCTGCCTGCTCTTCATCCCGAATCGAGCGCCTTGGGGCTTAGACTACCAATCGAGCTTTGTCTTCTCGGCCGTCGGAGATTGTGCGAGTCGGATAGGAGCTCAGAGCAACGCCGTCGAGATTGTGCGGGTCGGAATAGGAGCTCGGAGCCTTATGACGATCTCGATCCTCGACAATTTCGACTTCTCTGTGTTCTCGGTGAGTCACTCCCTCTGCAATTACATTGGGTTTTTCAATTTTTAGGGTTTCAATTAAGCTCCTGTGGAATTGCTAATTGGAAACGCGATCTTCCTCCGTTACGGAAGGATCTAAGGAAGGAGCCGGATCTGGAGGCTGGAAACAACGAGAATCTATATCCAGGTCTTGATCTTGGCGAGAAATAGCTCCGATGAGGTTTGATCCAGAAGGTTTACGGCATCCTGGCCACTATGCTCGTCATCACCACCTTCGTCTCCTTCATCACCGTCAATGAGCTTCTCAGGGCAAGCCCTGGTCTCCTCTTATTCCTCTGATTCGTCCGCTTCATCCTTACGTTATTCTCTTTCCAATTCCCCTTTCCTCCTAACTCTCAATTCCTCAATGTTCAGGGTTTGGGATATATTTGTTGTATAGTTACGACTCCTATGGCAGTTTGTGTCGAACATGGTTGATTACTTTCAGATGTGGATGTGAATCGTATGGTCAATTAGGGTATTTCTTGTTGGTAGTGGTTGAGAATTTGGATTTCATTTTTATTGTTTCCATGCCTCCTGCATATTAATTATTGCCTTTATTTAGGCCAATCCTTAAGTCATTCCTTCAAAAGACCATGTTCTAGCTACAAAAAACAAAAAGGATAAGTCTGGTGTTGGTGCTACATGCATGAAGAGTGTTGGTCGTTTTCTCTGTTGATAGTGGTGACATATGGCAAGAAGAGTTTCTTCATTTAGCTTTTCCTACATTATTAGACTTGGAAGAGTGTTCGTTGTTTTCTCTGAAGCTTGGCCTGTTGGATTATTTGGGCTAGTATGACCTCTTTTTCTTTGTTATGTATCCATTATCTTCTTGGAGGAAATGGTATATTGATTATCTTCCGACTGACTGTCGATGTGATTAAGCAGTTTATGTTCTCTGGTATCATGGCAAGTGGTCTGGTTATTAATTGCTCTATTTCAGGCTTCTATACTGATGCTTGGTCCTCCCCCAACGATGCTGATTTTCCAAGTGCAGCTTGCACCCCAAGAGTTTAGTACAGGCATGATTGTCAATCTAGCTTAATTATGTTATGATAATTCAAATTAGCTTGGTTTTTTGCATTTATTCTGGATGATTTGGAACAGGACTGGCATTTTTTTGCTGTATGCCAATTACATTGTCAAGTGGGGTAGCACTAACACAAGTAAATTTCCTCTTCCTCTTCTTCTCCACTCTCTGTACGTTCAAGGTTAGGATGACATGTGCATCACTAATGGGGGTTTTGATTGCAGCATGTTGGTGGGAAATATGCTCTTGCTCTTAAGATGACAGTGATGTCAAACCTACTAGGCATCATTACTGTAAGTTTCTACTTATAAAAAGAAAAATCACTACCATAACCACTTTCCTCTTTTCTGGACTTCACAGTTGTTCTTAAAGTCCATTAATAAGAATAACCCTTATGTTTGTTAGTACGCATAAGATGAGAGTTGGCTTTCTTTGATGAATCACTTTCATTTTCGGATATAGATCTCAAAGGATTTCATGCTTTCATTTGATTTTTTGCATGTGCATGTGCATTTAGTCTTTATTCATTTGATATAGTCTAACTCGCTGCTCTTTGGTGTTGATTTAACTGCCGAGGTAATACACCTCAATAATTGTGAATGCATTTGAGATTCTCAGGATAGGCTGAAACATGTTCGTGTAAGATTTTTGGATTCCATTTTCTTTTATTGTCTTTGTAACTATCATTCTTACTTTCTACTTGAGTTTGATAATGGATCTTTACGGTGAATGGAATTAGGAAGGAAAGCGAGACAGTTGATTCAAGATCAGAAAGGTAATTAGGTGAATTGCCTACTTTTATAAACTAGAGCTACTTTACTTATACGGAGGACCCATAGATCTGGCTTTTCATGATTTTGGATATTTGGGTCATTTGTCTATCGATATATATGCTTAATATTTCAAGTAATTGTCGGGTGTAGCATCATAGTAAATAAGGAGAAGGAAAATAACTCTTGTTATATGGACTTATTTAATCATTTTCAGGATCGTCTTGGTCGGTCTAAGCTAATTTGGTCTTTGCGGCTGAAAGTTGCTCTTGATACAGCTAGGTGAGCTTATTAAGTTTTATCCTATGGTGTCCATGAATACCCATCTGATTTTGACTTGCTTGTGTATATTGGAGGTTGTTTCTCTGACCTTCAAAGAGTAATAGTCAATGAAGTTGATCTACTAATAGAAAGATATGGCTGAGCTATATGTTGATAGAGAATACCTCTATAGTGGTTTCAGTTCTATTCAATGTTAAAATACTCGTTGATCATACTGATACAGAGTGAAGGAAAAAAGAAATGGAAAGATGGGTTAGACAGACTTGGGCAGCTTGTTATTGACTGATTTTTGTATTGCTTTATTTGCTTGTTTCCTTGCAGTGCTGGATTTTGAGGTGGGGATGTATGAGAGGCTGTTGGTTTTCAGGGGCCTTGCAAGAGGTTTTGAGCTTTTGCTAGACCCCTTTATTGGGTTATGCTTCTCAAGTATGATTCAAACGTGTTTGATCTTTTAGATGCTTCTTTTGAAAAGATATTGTTGAATCAAAGGAGTCCTACCATTCTGAATGCATTTGTTTGCTTTTACCCCCACTTACTGTAACCTCTTAGGGGTCGTTAGGATTAGTGTTTTTAATTTGAGTGATTTGAGAGAGATTTGGGATCAAATCACTCGTTTTAAAACCCAGGTTTTTTATTAGAGAGATTTGTGTGGGATTTTCTCCAAATCACTTGTTTGGCAAGCAAAAAGGGATTTTAAATTGAAAATGGAAAATTGAATTGAACCATGCAAAAGACCACTTTCCTCACTCCAAACTTGGGTATTGAGCAACTGCTTCCGAACTGCTTCTGAATTGCAGCTTCTTCAGCCATCCGAATAGCTTCAGTTTTCAATACCACTCCAACCTAGGCAGAATCCACAAAAAAACCCCACCAATCACCAAACTTTCTAAGAACATAATGCAATTCCCTACAATTCAAGCAAATGATCAGTGAAGACTAATCTCATGCTCGTTTTCTCTTTCTGGTGTTTCAGGCTTCCGTTCTTCATTCAAGAAACCTCCAGTAAGGAAAGGTTAGCATCTAGTTCCTGGATTTCGCTTATCTAAACCAAAATTTCGATTGTTTTTTTTCCTGAGATCCTAGTCCTTATGCTGTGCTAGGAAAACCTGTTTGCTAGTGAATGTTGAACTATCATACCCTGTCCTTGAGAAGAAGGCCTCGATGTGTATGGATGATTCAAGTTTTCGTTTGGACGGTCGCATTGTTGTATGATGGTTTGTCATTTCTGTGCGGCTGATTATTAAGGCCTTGCTTGTCTTACTGTAGCTGCTTCTTCTCATTCGGTCCATAATTATGGTACGAATAAAGAGGTTGAAAAGGGTGATGCGAAAGATGCTAGTTAATAAGAATTTAGTTTGAAATGATTTATAACTATGGATTTGTGACTGGATATTTGTTGTTTTGTTAATTTGCAGGGATGGAAGTTGATGAAGGGCTGCAGGGGTAAATATCTGTTTTTAGTTTGAAATAGTATTGAACTGTAGATTGTAGGCTTTGAACATTTGTAAGTGATTTAGAATTCTAGATTTGATGTTACTTTTGTAAGGATTGATGGATTATATTTTTGGTATGGTAATTCAAGGGTTATGAATAGATATACAATTCTGGAATTGTGATTATTAGGCTACTGTATTGCTGATTTGATGTTCAGAAAATGTTTACTAGATCATTGGAGTAATAGAAAAACAGCAGGCTAGGGCTGTATTATTAGAGCAGGTGGTTCTTCAAAATACAACAGCCTTTAGCGACACTCATTAGCTTTTCGCGGCGGTCATATCTGTCGCTAAACAATTTAAATAATTTCTTGAATGTTTATTTAACGACGGTTAACTGGACAATTGCGTCGGTCACTGCCGTCATTAAACTTTGTCGGCGGTTAGGGCGACAGTCGTCCAAAACCGTCGCTATAAAATTTAAGGATTGCGGGGTCAGCAACGGTTGCTTTTCCGTCATTAAATATTTTAGCGACGGTTTTGACCGTCGTTAAATGTCCGTAAAACCGTCGCTAAATCACTGTTCTGTTGTAGTGGTGGCTGTATGTTTTAGCCACAAAATATTGACCTTTTAGCTATAAAATTTTCCATAGCTATATGTGCTTTTTCATAGCTAGAGCGCACATAATTGAGACATATGCATTGAGGTAATAGATTAGAAGATTCTAAGTTGCTCAATTGCTACTTCTTTAAACTTGGATTTTTTACTCCCCATGAGATCATGTTAGAACTTCACACCATCGTTTCCCATATCTTCCACATATGTGAGTATATTCCCATGTTCGTCAATCAATTGGATTATAGTGCTTCTTGAATTCCTGCTATTTACAATGCTATGGGAAAACGTGATGTTTGCATCCTTACTAGTGATCCACATCTGTCTAGACTTTTGTTTAATAAATTGTTCTTCAGCCTTTTGTAAATCTAAAGAAGTCGAACCTTGCATCTCTTTTTTATTTAAAGTTGAGGAGGCAGGGAGCTCCAAGGCTTCTAGCTGAGTCACAACAAGTTTTGATTGTGTTGCCACTCTTTCATGAGGGTCAGAATAGTGAGTCCTATTTAACGTATTTAATTAATCTTATCTTTCTTTGTTTCAATTTTGGACAAAGGCAATACATTTTGGAACATTCTATTGTACATGTTGCCATCCCTCTGCCTCTAGTCTATCATACATATGGCGAAGCCTCTACAAATTGAAGTACTTCTATCAACTTTTATTATGATTTTACCATGATAAATTTATAACTTATGAATATGCTTTGAACCCTAAGCATTTACAGTTTACTATATATCATGATCCTACCAATTTGATTTATTATTTAACTTTCACAAAGATTTCTTTATCACTAAGTCAATTGTTTCAAATGTAAGGAAGAAGTTCGTGGCTTTCAAAGTCCACTTCAACTCTCATCTACGTTTAGTAGACATATCTTTTCAATTGAAAACAAAAAAGTACCAAAAGAATTTACCTTGAACATACAACTTCATAAGTAGATAATCAATTACATGATGAGAATGAATTATAACTTGAAACATCAATTAAACTATTGGTAACAAACACTTTATATAACGACACATGAGCAAATAAACCAAATAACCTTCATCGAAAGAAATCCATAAACAAGTTAGAGAAGCCAAACAACCAGAAAACCAACTTCCACACACAATCATGCATCATAATCAGTTCACAAAGGCACAACGTTTCCTAATCTCCCCTTCGCTTCCTGTGAGGACACCAATCCTACCCATCTTCTCCATTGATTTACCAAAATCCCAACCAAAAGTTGCCCCAGCAGCAGAGGTGGACTGGCGTTTGACATAAGCTCGAGTTACATGATCATTAAGAAGTGATGCATCAGAGGTAAGGAGACCTCTGTTCTGCCTCACAGCTTTGTAGAAATGTGCATCAGAAACCGTGGAACTTCCTTGGTCCA